TTAATTCTTTCAACAGTCTCTCACCAGTTTCAAATAAGTCTGTTTTTAAAATATCTCCTAAAGCAAAGCCTAATAATAAATATAGGGCCGTGAGCATGGAATCCAGACCATGGTTAACCATTCGGAGAGCATATAATTTTTTTAATTTCCTGACACCTGCATGTCTATTTGCTTATCTCACACGTATACAGGAATAGTCTTTATTGTATTCATCAATACTACACAACTGCCTCTATCTACACAGATTTGTAATTTTATGAACTGTTTTGTCCACAAAAAGCAAGTATTTGCACAGTTTCTAGAATCCTACAAATACGTACTTCAAATACAGCATAAAGGCTCTTTTCAAAAATAAAGTGCACTGGTGTAGACAATAAAACAGTTATGTTCAACTGAGTTTGAGATAAATAGAATTATGAAGCGCAAGTTATGCTTTAGCATGCTATTATAGGTCATATTTTTATGTCCTTACTCACACTTAGCAGTACTTTAAAACTCCACAAGTGGTCCCATTTAAATCACTCAACGAGTAGAGAATATTTGATAGAGAATATTTATCAGTGCTTAGCCATAGTGATTTGTACTCCATAAATATATACATTGGAACATTTCATTTTGAAGACTGAACGACTGATATATTCTTACACAAATTCTCTGGTCCTCTTTAAAAACCCCAGCCCCATAATGTAACCAGTTTTTAAATTGTAATGATTGGCTAGTCACAGTTTCAGTATATCTTAGTTACTGCTGTGCCTACCTTTTCCATTTTCTATTTTAAATTATTAAAATCAGGATATTTATATATATTTCTTCCAGCCTGGCATTTCTAATTGAAAGTAAATAAAGTAGTTCTTAAGAACTTGTATAGTCACAGTTAAACACAACAAAGGTACAGCTGGACATCTTAAGTTCTTGGGGAAAGGGGGTTGGGGTTGTTTGTTTGTTTTTGGGGTTAAAAAAAACGAGTCAGCTTTCAACCTGCTTGGATAGATTTCACATGTGAATACTCTAATAAATGAAGCATTTTTCCTTAACAATTTCCCCCCCAAAATTTACAATATTGACATTAGTATTCAGCTCATAGTGATACCCTTCAGATTACTGTTTCCTCTATGAAAAGACTAAAGAACATTACCTGCATTTAAAGTTATTTATTTTAAATTAGCCATACAGTAATCATGATAAACTTGGAGTGGGCATATTTTAGGACGCCAATAAAAAAAGTACAGTAGTTGAAAATATGTCACTCACCTTGTGCATTACAATACACCACAGGTTTAATTATCAGTTTAACTACATTTGAGACAGACCTGAAGGATGCACAGTCACTTCACATAATGTGGCATTGTATTTCTAGCCATACCACCTTGAGCTATGACCCAACTCAGATCTCTCAAATTAAGCAGGGTCAGAGTAGGTCACTACCCATATGGAAGAGCTAACGAACACATAGGTGCTGCAGGAAATGGTTGTGGTGATTCAGAGAAAATAGTTCCAGCTACAAAGACAGCACTGAAACAATGCCTTAGCAGATGAAGAGGAAACTGCACTGTTAGAAAATCCATCTGAAAATGAGACTGTATGAAAAATTAGTCTTGATCATGGAATCAACAGACTAGCATAATGCATATGCACAAGGGGGACGAATTAAGTTTGGACAAGGAACCTTAATTCTGGCTTTTCCTACCTTTTGAATGCTTGACTCCACAACCCGAATATACTTTTAATATAACTTGTGTGTAACAATAGGTATGTTATAATATTATCCAAAATTGAGAGGGAAGGAGGAAAATCAGGTTACGGTACTCTATAGTAGAACTATACTAACTTAGGGCACCTGAAAACATTCCCAAAACTCACTGCAGTACCACATCTCAGGGTTTGAAAAAATCCTTTTGTAATCACCTAAGTGAAATATCTCAGATTTATGAAGCCTGTTGTCTCAAAGGCCCTATCTACATTATACCTCAAGGGAGATTCACAGACTTTAAAAACAGCAGGGACTTTATTATGATCCCCCAGATGGGGGACCCACTCACACAACTGCTATATTTTGTAGTGTAGGCTCCATAGCATGTATTGGGTTTTTCTAAAACCATGGCTTGAACTAATCTAAAGCTTTGGATGTACAACCTAAGTCAACTGTGAGCAGAAGTTACGCTCTGACGGCGGTTTGATGACAAATGTAAACAAGGTTAGTGTCCACATAATAAACACCTTCATAATTGGCACCTTTGTTGGTAGTCTCAGTGGGGAAGAAAAAAGCCTGAAAGGAGACTGACTTAACTTTTCACTTCTACCAGCAGCCCTGTCAGGTTAGGGATGAGGCACATTGGCTGGCAGGGCAGTCTGAATGTACTTGCACTGCCCAGTGCTGCACCTGTGGACTTTAGTCTGCAGGGTTGTTAAAAAGACAATGAATCCTAAGGGAAACAAAATTGAGTTCAAAGGAACCTCTCTATGATTTTCCAAAAGGTAGCCTGGACTTCTTGAGAACCTGATCAGAATAGAGCTAAGGTATGCAAACTACTTGGTACAGTCAGAATTCATCTTTAAAAAGGGGAAACTGACCAACTAGAGGGGAACTGACAGTGCTATCAGTGTGGTACTCAGAACTCCCATGGTCTTCAAAAGGCATCTGTATAAGAAATGAGATTGGGTTATCCCACAAACACAGCACATCTACCCACAATGCTTCTTGTATCCCACTGGTTTAATTTGGGTTAGGGAGAAAGAAAATCAGGGGTCTTTTTCCCCTCCTTTTGTCACCTTGAAGTGGGCAGTTCTTACAGAAAATATCTCAATGAAAATCGCCTTAGCGGGCCCAATACTTATTCTCTGATTAAATAAAAAAGTAAAAGGCTCTTGTCACAGAACACGGCAAACAAGGTAAAAAGTTTCCAAATATTCTCTAACTTCAATTTTTCCTATTCATTCATCTAAACCAAAAAATAGGACCTGATCACTTACTCTACAGAACTATACAGAGTATTATTATATTCTTATAAAAAACAGTCTGACAGAGGCCTAGTGCGATAAAAAGGTTTGTAATTAACTATATTAATTCCATTAAAAATATGCAACAGGAGCTCTCCTCCCCCCCGAAAATGAAGTGATACTCTTGAAAAATTGTCATTGCTGATTAACAGCAGTGTGCAAAATTGTCATGCCAAAGTATAAATCCAGTTGCATCTACTCTCCCTGCCTTGCCAACTTACTGATCATGGAAATAGTTAAAGCACTGGTCCTGAATCCTGATTTGAATAGTGCTCTTCACAGGGTCCTCACGGACTTGATTGCAGGACTCAGGCCTATTGTTTTATTTCCCTGTCAAAAAAAACCAGAACCCTCTAACTTGCCTTGGGTTTGTACAATTCTGAATGCTCCTTTAAAGTAACTAAAGCCTGGTAGTCTACAAAAAAAACAGTAAATGGTAAAATAAGTTTCCACAGGAAAACATCCTAGCAAAATGCTCTGAGACAAAACTATAGAGCTTAAAAATGGCTTGTGAGGGAAATCAATTTCAAAAGGATGACACAGTCTGCAAATATGATTACATTAGACCCCTTTATGTTAACGTAAATTTATTTTTATTTAACATTCTATAATAAACCAGGACTTGTTTTATTTTTTCTAATTGTGATTAAATAAATGGTCACTTCTAACAAGTGTATTAAATGAAGGAACAATTTCCACCCAGAGCACTGCATTATGCCAGCGGTTTTAAAGCAAAAACCCTCATTCACATTAAACAGGATTTCTGCTTAAACATGGATGGTACAAGCACTGAAAGTTCTATGCCAGTGCAATCCAATAATCCTACCATGTAATACCTCCAATATTCACTTTGGAGGATAGCAAAACTGTCACAAATCTGAACTTCCTGAAAACCTTTGCAAAAGTAAGGGTTTGGATTGGTGGCAGTGGCAGGGGATGGTGTTTGACTTCCTTTTAATCATGGCCCATGGATGGTGAATAACCTAGGGGTTGCTGACTGACAGTTTGTTACGGTACTGGATGGATGTCTACAGTTCTATTTTAGAAATCTGAAGGATTAAAACTAAATTACCTATGAGTTTAAGTTGTAAGTGCGCCCCAAGGGCTGCAATGGAAACACATTTCTATAAATGCAGCAGTAAGAATAGCCATCTTTGTTAGAATGTGCTCAGCACATACATCTATGCCCTAATATTAGTACCAGCCAACTCTTAGATTGCTATTTCCGCCCCCACCAATATGGTGCCTTTACCGGGTTTGCTTTCAGAGTATGTAAGCTGTCAGGCCCCAATGCCTAGGCAGTGGGCAAAGTGCTGCTCTCCACCTGTTTGACACTAATGCACATACCCTTGCAAGCAAGGCGGTGGGAGTCACTTGCAGGTTAACCTCAGGCTCCATCACCGAGCTCAGCCTGAGCAGATGTCCGCCTCGCCCTTCAATGCCAGCCGACACAAAGAGGAGAATTTTTTTCCGAGGTAACTTTTCCTCTTGGCCCTTTTTCCTTCCTACTTCCCTCCCCACAGCCTGGTGTGGCGCATCACACGCGCTGGGCGCAAACACAGCCCCCAGCAGCACCAGGAAGAAAAATAAAATGGGGGGGGGGCAGAGAGAAGAGACAGGAAAAGACAAGGAGTCTGGGCAAGTAAAAGCCTCCCGTGGCCTTTGCCAGCCCCCACCTCCCAGCGGCGGCACGGCGGGGGAGCACATGGAGCTCCCCAGATGGCATTTTGTTTCCTGTCGGGCAGCATGGCCCGAAGGGCTGCACCGGGCGTTTGCTTTTTGCTCAGCTTTCTCGCGGCGCAGGGCGGCGGCGGCAGCCAGGCTGAGCACGGGGACAGGGGCGAGTCCTAACTCTCGTTCGCCCTCTGACAACGCGCCGCCGCGGGCCCCGCTCGCAGCCCGGGCCCGGGCAGGGGAAGGCAAAGTTGCCCATCACGCTGTTGATGCTGCAGAAACCAGGGCAAACCCTCGCCCCCCTGCACCGCCCGCCACCCCCTTCTCACCGCTCTTGCTGTCGCTGGGACCCGCGCCGGCTGCAGCCACCGCTCCGCCGCCGCCACCGCCTCCGGCCGTCGCCGCCGCGGCCGCTGCTCCTCCCGATCCTCCAGCCGCCCCGACCGCGGCGGCCGCCGCTCCCATCGCTGCGCCCGCCGCCGCCGCCAGGGCCAGGGCTCCATTTTCCTGCTCGTCCCCGCTGCTGTTAGCGCGCTTGTTCTTCTTGCCCTTGCTGCTCTTCTGGTTCGGCATCGCGGAGCTGGAGCAGGCGGCTGAGGCGGCTACTGGTGAGGAGGCGGCTGCTGCTACCCCCGGCTCATTGCGGCTCCATTGCAAACAGGGCGCCCAGGAAGGAGAGAGGAGCTGGCTGCGGCTTTCCCAGGCTGAGTGCTCCCGGCCCTCCCGGGCGGGCACCCGCGGCCAGCCCAGCCCCGCTGCGCACACACTTGCACACCCAGCCGCCCGGCCCGGGGGGAAGCAGCGCCAGGGGAAAAGGCGTGTCCCGCTTGTTTTGATTCTGCTTCCCCTACTATCGCTCTCCTCCCGCCCCTCTCCGCTTCCTCCTTTCACACGCACTAGCGCTGGCTGGTGACAGAGGGAAGCCGCGCAAGTTAAAAGGGCGGGGGGAGCTATGGGGCTGAGCTCCACCAGGGCAGCAAAGAAAGCAGGAGGAGCTCAACTGGGACTGGACCCCCCCACACACCCACCAGGGCCTGGTGGCTGCCAATGCTGTAGAAGGGGGTTGCCATACAAGGCTCCTCCCTTTGGCCTAGGAGGAGAAGCCTCACGTGCTCACAGCAGAAGGGAGCAGTTCCCTGGAAGATCTGCCTCATTTCCTGAAGGAACAACCCCAACAAATGCAAGGAAGGAGGCAGCGCAAGCTTGTGTTAAGTGTACTTCGCCGGAAATGCCTCTGGTCTTCTCCTTGAAAAATAGCTGGAGCTTTGTTGGCAGGGTTGTTAACATTGTATTTCAAAAATAAGGGACTGTTTCTTAGCACTCCTGCCCCACCCCTCCTCCTGATAGTGTTGTTATTAATAATAATAATAATAATAAGTACTCACCTATATTCGCATCGGGTATTTCTTGCTGCCTTTTGCAGCGCTCAGCAACTCCCAATTTTGTTGTACAGAGATGAAAAAATAAGGGACGTCCCTTGTAATAAGGGACAGTTGGCAAACCTAGTTCTGGACATCAGCAATGGCCCTTGTGTACTCCGTAGCCAGGTATTGTGCAGTGATATGGACCAGAAGTAGCCACACTCGACTTGTTGACGTCCAGCTGAACACTGCAATGTGGTGCATCACTGGAACCCTCAACTCGACCCCAACACCTTGGCTGCCGGTGCTGTCATGCATTGCACCTCCATCCATTTGGGGTGATGCTGCAACCCTTCAGGAATTTCAGCAGATTGTGGAAAACAAATATCTTCCCATCTTAACAACGTCCCTCACTGCTGCTTGAAGTCACATAAGCCGTTTTGGACCCATGAGTTTAACCTTCGACAATGCAACTTCAACCTGATGAAGCTTGGAAAGCTGAGTGAAATTCACAAGAAGTCACAAATAAACACCTTGTGAAAGACCCAACACAAAAGATCCCTGGCTTCAATCTCCCATGAAGCTCATGGGCAACCCTAAACCGCATCCGCATAACCTATGGCAGATGCGGATAGTTGCTGCACAAATGAAAATTAAAGACTCTTCAGTGTGCAACTGTGGTCACTTAGAACATACCATGGAACATATAACAACTCAATGCCCAATTCACAAATACAAAGGAGACATCACAGCAATACACTCTGCTACTCCAGATGCAATTATCTGCCTTAACCATCTGAATATAAAATTATAGTTGTTGCTGTACATTTACATCAGCCATGTGAAGAAGAAGACCGTGAGTCCCACAATAATTGGCAACACTGTTTAACATTGATGCTAATATCCCCCAGCTTGTGCTTGCCAGTTTTTGGACCAGGTTAACCCTTGTCTTCTTCTTGGCAGCTACTTTCTTCAGATGGTCGTGGAGGGTTAGCATGCGATCCAGCTTCAGTCTGAGATAGGTCGGAGTGGGCTCATGTCTCACAGTATTGCCACAGAAGGTCACTTTCAGGGTGCACTTAGCATTCCTGTTATCAAGATGGAATGCAGTGACTGTTGTTGTTTTGTTTTTTGTGAGGATTTGGCTTGAGCCTCCATTTCTGGAAATATTCTTCCATGTTGTTTAGGTCCCCGTTCAAGTTGGACTCTGAAGGATGATACGTTCCAGGAGTTTGTAGGTAGTGTACAGAAGTGATATTGGCCTATAGCTTCCTGGGTCGTTGGTCAGCTTGCCTGGTTTGAGTATGACAATAACTATCGCCCATCAGGCTTTTGGGATGCATCCAGATTCCATAGTTTTGGTGTACAGTTTGGCCAGCCATTGGAGTTCCATGGGGCCTAGTTGGTGAAGAAATTCTTGGGAGATACGATTTCCACTGGCCGCCTTCCCTTTCTTCGTTATAGCTAAACCTTTTTTCACTTCATCTATACTGATGGCGATGGGGTCTTGTGGAGGGATTGAGATCGTGGTCCTCTATAGCTGATGATGGATCACTCGCTTGCTATTTTTGTCGAGTGGTCCTTTTGTGCTCTCCACCAATTTGGAGACTATGAAGTTGGGCCAGACTTTTGAGGTCCGATATTCCATCTGATTAGCAGCTCTGAGACATTGAAGTAAGGCCCAGGCATGGCAACTAGAGTGTGTGAAGTTCAAACCTTCAACACTCTCAATCCACCACCAAGGTCTGGGTGAGTCTAGATACTCTAGCAGGGCCTTCACAACATGTGGGCTGCTGACTGGTTGTATTGCTGGTGCAGATCCTGGGTCTCTTTTGTCCAGCAGGGAGTGTATTCTTCCGATACCCTTCTTACCGGCAACGATAAGGAGGCCAACAGATCGGTGATAACATTCTGGTGTCGCAGGGATATGGATTACCACTTTTTCGACAGCTTCCCCTACAGCAGTCTGTTGGATTTGGCCAGATTCACTGTGGGATTTGTTTTGACAGAATCACGGATTTCAGCGCCGACATGGGTAATGATGGACCTATGTTGGCTGTAGAGAAGTCAGGAAGTATTTTGCAGGATGCATGGAGCATAGTCCTGCTTTGATCTTTGGAAACAATGGTGAGGGCTGGGTTGTAATTGCATTGCCAGAGAGCAGAGAGGAAAGTTACTCACTGTTTGGGATTGAAGACCAGTTGCAGATCTTCCACAGACCTCCAATCCATGAGGTCTTCACCATTGGCTTCATTTACTTCGTAGCCTCAAATAGTGTGGTGGGTGTTAAAGTCACCAATGTATAAGTCTGGGATTGGTGCACTTGGGAGCGCTGGTTTTGGCCATTTTGAATTAGGGGTTTTATACACTTTGGTAATGTGCAGTTCTCCTATCCTGATGGCAGTGGTGTAGGTGACTTCCTCTTCAGTTGGGAGGAAGATGTCAAAATCCATTATGGTGTTCTTCGCATATATGGCCAGGCCGTATTTCGGATGGTACTGGCTAGTCATGAGGTTGTAGCTATGGATATGGTAGTGGGTACCCTGTTGGTCATTAGAGATGTGTGTTTCTTGGAGCATAAGGACGTCGATGTCATGTCTTCAAAATATTTGCAAGATACTTGCACTTTGCCCAGGAAAGTCCATCAATGTTAGGTTCAGGAACAAGGATCCTCCAACTTATCTGGCATGTTATTTGTCCCTGAAAAGGGCTGTTATGGTGGCTTGAGTTGTTGCTCTGAAGATGAGGACATCGTTGATTGATTACATTAGTCGTGATTTCTCACTTAACAGAGTGGGCCACATGAAGGCTGCCATCTTCCACTCCGGGACTCACCATAAAAACCACATGATTTTTTCCCCTTAAAGGTGAGAATCTCAGCTTTCATTTAAAATGAGTAAGTTTCTAGTCCTCATGGGTGCAGGGAAAAGTTTAAAAATGTGAACCAAGTGCACCCTAAAGACTCAGAAACTAAACAAGCTAAAATGAGCACAAAATTGAGATTTTTTTTTAAACCAATCTCATGATTTTTTGAGGCCTGGCTTATGATTTCTGAACGCTTGGGATTGCCAATACTGAATACGAATGGTGGGATGCTGAGCAGCATACAAACGGAGGGGGGTCCTTTTAAAACTTGATGGGGGTCACTATCGGGTGACCTGCAAACCGCCTTTGGCACATAACTGCCTACCTTATTTCATTAAGGTCCAGATCCTGCAACCTGCCCATAATAAATAATAATAACTAATGTACTGTCTGTCTGAGCTACTCTAGAGTGATTTGAAATTACCATTTAAAAATAATATTAGGTATGCCTCTTCTATACTCCCTGGCTAAACTGAAACAGTTTCCCAGATAAGATCTTGTGTACAGTTCCTTAACATATTCCAAATCATCCTGTACATTTTTCCTGTACCTTAATGTTCCAATTAATTGGCTGCCACCTTTAGTATATTACACTCATTACAAAAAGTTTAAAAGGGCTAGGTCAGTTTCTTTGCCCATAGATATTCACATTTTAGATGTTTTAGCTGTTCTGCAGTTTTCAGGGCAAATGGACCCTTCCCCCAGTATCTACTTTTCAATAACTTGTGCTATTATTTGCTAACGGGCACTATCTACCTTAGTCCACACAGCTTTGAAACCTCTGAATTACACTCCTTCCTGCCTCTAAGAATTTCACAAGGAAATCACTAGCAGAGCAGAGAAAGTGTGGCCAACTTGAGGGAATAAGGGGAATACCAGGACAGCCAAATCATGATCCAACTGATATCAAGAGCAAAACTTCCATTTACTTTAATGAGACCAGGATTTGGCCCCTATGTCTTTGAGTGATTTCTCAGGACAAGTGAAATGAATCGTCCGAAAGAAGAGCAAGGGCTGGGAAAAAGCCACTGGTACAGACTACAATACATCAGCAAACCAGTACTACCTGATTAGAGGTTAAGGGACTGATTTGTTTTAACCCACAGAAATGATGAAGTTTCAAGTTAAAGATGCCATTCTGACATCAGAAATCTGTCCCCAGAAGCATGCTACCTATCTTGCTTTAATGGTGAACTAAGGAAAGAGTGACATGGTAAAGGGCCACTCTGGACCCAAGAATATAATGGTTTAAATATCAGTTTTGCAAACACCCTGCTCAAATCCTGGCAAAATCTATTCTGCCTTTCGTCCTCCTGAGGTAGAAAATAGAGTTCTATTCAGTTTATAAAGTAAGGCTTTTTTGTATCAGATCATAGAAAATGTGTTCCTCACTCCCCTTTATGGACACTCAGTAATCCATGGCACTTTTTGTAACCTTAGAGATTTGCCCGGTCATATTGGACAACATTTCTCTCCCTCTCTCCCACCACTAGTACGCTGTGTACCAATTGACTACCACTCCAGAAGTGTCTGCATTTTGATGGTGTTTGCTAGGATGTAATTTGTGAAGCACTTCACAGAGGCAGGTACTAAATATATGTAAAGCGCTGTTATTAAGAGTAGATACCCAAGGAATAGGATTAGTTGTTATTTAATGATCTAAGAAAGGATAAATAGTTAAGTAGAAAAATTTGCTGAACACAAAAATTATGTAGGTTAATGAAGAGCAGGGAGGTTGTGAACACCTCCAGAAGGACTCAACAGAGCTATGTAACTGGTGTGATGAAATTTGACATAGATGAATGCACTGGCAGGAACACTTGAAAATAACTCTCTAAACTGATGCATTTTTGAATTAGTGGTAACCTCACCAAAAAAAGATCCAAGCATTGTG